TGACTACAGGACATTACTTGCATGTCCCCAATAAGCAGCCCCATCTGATTCTTTTCATCGAATCCAATTCCTCATGAAGTTGTTTCATAAATTGAATCTTATCACGGAGTGGCGAGAAGTCAATATTGGTAGTTCTGAAAAGAGAATACTGAGCCTGAGTGAGGATTCCCCATTCTGAGTACCTTTTGAGTACTTTTTATGGATGCATGAAGATGCATCGGGTGAGCGAGAAAATTCTCCCTCTGATATGATTTGGACACCATAGTCTCTGGATTGATCTCGTCTTGGACCTTGTCTTTAGATGACATACCATCTTCAATCGAATGATCAATTGCCCCAGAATAATATGCGTAGAGGATTCTTTCAGGAGAAAAAATTAATGTTTTTCCAAGCGAATCGATATAATCTGCATTATCAGGCATACTACGCCACAAAGATTAATATAGTCTGTCTTCTATCAAAACAAAAAGAGATATCCACCTGGTGATAAAGAATGTGGCAATTGGCCAAAAAGGAATTGTACCTTTGGAAGAGACGCCAAACAGGTGTTGGGCTTTACATTTCAACCCCTTTGTAGTCTTCAATATCAAAATCGGGTACCCCAGAATAGGGGATGCATCTAATATGCATATCGTAATCAGAAGAGATGTTTGTGGGAGGAAGACTTCAAAGATCAGAGCTAGGAAGAACCAGGAATAATAGGATGTAATGCATTGGGCTCGCATTAGCATGCTCATCATGGTTCTTATGTCTTGGCTTAAAAGCTTTCCCCATGAATTCACTTGGAGAATAAGGACTGGTTGTTGTTGAACAAATCAGTGAACACAAAGTTATGGAGGATGCCCCTGGTTAAAAGGTATGATGCCCCGGCGTGGTAACCACATCTGACGTTGGTTAACAAAAACGAAGCACTGATATAAGACCCTACGGTAAATGGGAACCATTTGCTGATGAGATGTTTTAAGAACTCAGGATTGCGTAGCACTCCATAGTTGGAAGCAATTTGCCAAAAGAAGATGAGGTGAATAGAGAACTTGCTGCAGCCATAAGTTTATTGATCATCATTAGAGCTTCCATGACCTGGTTCATCTTGAGTCTTTAATCAATTATCTTCCCGTTCGAAGAAATTTCTGACTACGGGCCAAAGCTTGTATGCATACCATATGGAGTTATTCCCTAACTGATCCCCGAGCATCAAAGCTAAACCTCTGAGGAGAACCATGTCTGAATAAGAATCCCCAATCTTTGAGTACCTGTTATGGATGCATGAATATGCATGGGATGCATGAACGGGTGCCATGTCATGTTCCGTCATTTCCAAGGATTTTATGTGCTTTAATTTTGATTTTATGTAAGTAAAAGATGGAAAAGTTTGGCACTAGGCTCACAAGTACGATTCCTTGGAAATCACAGAACATGTATGTTAAGTATGCGGTTAACCATGTTACATATGCAAAGGCATGAGGTCAAATGGGATCAAAGTTCCATCATTTCTGAATGTGATTGATGCGTTGTTCTGAACCATATGAATATCATCAAATCAAAGGTCCGACATAACTTCCACACATATAAGAGCCGAGTACTATGTAGATCTAAGTAGCATGAAATCAAGGCTTCAGGAACATCAAATACTGTTGAGCAATTCTGAGTATGCTGGGAATACCAAGATTAAAGGCTTGAATGAACTTCCAAGTTACAAGTCAGGAACTCAGAAAATAAATCTGAGAACCATACAATCACCAACAAAATATCATATGCATAAGTCACCGACAGAAACCCAGAACATAATCATTAGAACCAATAGTCACTGTCTGATCACAGTCTCCATCTGAGCATGACTAACCATTTGGACACAGTCACCAACTGTACCTGTAATGACAAATCCCTCCCCACTCACGGGTGAAGACTAGGTCAGGGTAAGGTAATGGTAACTCGAAAATCACGGGTCTGCCTGAAAGTGCTATGGGCTTACCCACAGACGTGGGTGTCGATAGTAATTCATTTGAACCTCATCCGAGCATGGTATATGACATGACTGCACTAATCGGACCACGTCCTATAGCCGTCATGCCCCCACTCTAGTCTTAGGTGTCCTAGTGCACTCTGGCCTGGGTACTGGGCCTTTTACCTCAATAGTAACATCCCCACCCAACATGGAAAACCAGAATCCAGCATAATAGATGACAAATAGGGAAAGCAATAAAATGCAATGCAAACTTATGCTCAGATAAACATGTACAAATGAGTAAACTGAAAGCATAAAAATAAACACCCAAAGAAAAGAAAACAAGAGCTAGGAGCGACTCCGGGATAGACCAACATTTGGTCGATCTATCCCCAGTGAAGTCGCCAGCTGAAACAACCGGCTGAAAATCATCAAACAATGAAGTCGCCATCGAACGTCTTTTATCCCACATGAAGGGAAAGGTAAACACCGAGGATACCTGAAAAGGGTGAAATCAAGGTCGAACGACCAAGAGATAAGGGTAAGGGAGTTTGTTATGCGAGGGGAAGGTATTAGCACCCCACACGCCCATAGTACTCTACGGTATCCACTCTTGTTATCTATCTTATGGGTGTGTTTAATCTATGCTTACGGTTTATTATCGCTAAAGGGAGAATGCATGCAAAAGAAAAGGGAAAAGAATGTAGGGAAAATGAAAAGTTGTGCTCGTTCGGGCCCTACCCCGATGCCTACGTATCCCTTTTAAGGAATCAGAGCAGCCGTAGTTCGGCTTATGTGTTTTTGTTTGTTTGTATTTTTTAATGAACAGTATTGATCCCGCCTTCTGCCGCAACTCGACCTTCGGAGACTTACGCGTCAGCACAGAAGTGAATTAACATGCTCTCTTGAAAAGTTTGGAAAGAAATGTGCCTGGACGCACAAAAAAGTTTGAATTTGTTTGTGTTTTGAACGAATGATATTAATCTCGCCTTCTGCCGCATCTCGACCTTTGGAGATTTACGCGTCAGCACAGAAGTGAATTAACATGCTCTCTTGAAAAAGGTTTTTTGAAAGGAAGGCCCGAAGGCCACAAGAGTTTATATTGGTTGATATTTTTGCTTGTAGATAATAGCTAGTTAATCTCAAGGGAGAGATTTTAGCCATGCCTCTACTTATTCATGAAATGGTTCTTTGAGACTTGAATCATACCAAAGCTTAGAATAAGAGAATAATAAGGTCGAGAAGAAACCCACTTATCATCTCTCAAACTTAGCCAAGACATGGTTCTTGTCAGTAAATTTTTTTAAGTATTTTAAGGTTTGTAAGAAAAAGAAGTTTTTGTTGTTGTTTTAGTGTAAATGCAAAAGGGGAAAGAAAGTCACATGAAGACTAACCTACTTCTAAACCTAATGTTATCATGCATTGGTAGTTGTAAGATTCGGTTTCTCGAGGGAATTCTATCTAATGTTAGCAAGCAGTATAGAAATGCATTAAAGTGTAAAATGGGGAGTAAAATAGGGTTGTGACGATACCGAATGGAGAAGGTCCGTTGCCTCTTCAAAGCCTCGCAAGTGGTAAGAAAACTCTACAGAAGTTACTCCGCATGAGTGATCGAAAATTAATATCCAAGCATTTCCCATTGCGAAAGTTACATCAATATCCGAACAAAATCTTAACTAATGATGAAAAAGAAAATGGTTACTAAACATAAATGCTAATAGAAAATTCTAATTAAAATTTTAAAAAGAAATTCTAGAAAAATTCTATTATATACTACCTCTTTTTTATTATTATTATTTTTTTATAGAGAAAATTCTAACAAACAAACGAGAATTAATTCCTAGATCAAAAAAACTAACAAGTTTTTTATGGATTTTATGACATGTGCAAAAAAACAATAAAAATGGACCCAGGACAAGCAATCCGGCCCAAGATCCATCAACAATAATCCAAGCTTATTTTTTGTTTCTTTATTATTTTACTAAAAATAAATAACTAATAAAATAAAGAAGAAAAAAAAGAAAAGAAAAAGAAAATTGAAAGGGAATGAAAACGTGAGATTAGGTTTCGAGGAGCTGTCTTCTTCATTCGTCAACGGCGGCGCAATACCCTTTCCGCCGTCTTCTTCTTCTGATCGTCACCACAACAGCGGCGCGGTCACTTCTTCTCCCTCTCGCTTCTTCTCAAAATGGCGGCCTCAACCTCCTCACCCTTATTCCATTGACTCTGCTCGTACCTTTATGAATCTCAAGTCATCACTGAAACCCTAGGTTTCCTAGATCATAAATTAAACGCTTCTATCGAAGCTTCTGCATATGATTCAATGGGAGTTTTGTTCTTCCCCTCATGCTCTACAACTTAGTATCAAGATGAGAAAAAAAAGAGTTAGAAATCATCAACCTCCGACGGAAACGAGTGCAAGCCTTGATGGAAATGATACGTCGTGCTTCAAACTTTTGTATCAGGTACGAATTTCTCGCCTCTTTACTATGGTTTTATCCTTCGTCTTCTCTGAATTGTGATTGTTTCGGTGTTACGCGTGTGTATGATTACAGTTCTTGAGTCGGTGTTATTGTTGACTCAGAGGCTTAATGCGTTGTTGTTGTTGTTGGCGGTTCAGAGAAGATGATGATGAAGATTCAGAAGATGATAGATACGTGATTATGGAGGTTATGCAGAAGGTGATGGAGAGTGACAGAAGTTGGATGAAGAATGAGTCAATGGTGGTTGTGAAAGGAGGAAGATGAAGTTTGATATGAGGGATTCTTGATAATGTAGATGAGTTGCAGTTATGGCGTGAAGGTGAATGGTGATGACAAGTGAATAGGGGAATGTGGAAAATGGTGGTTCAGAAAAATGGTTGAGAAGATGCAGAGGAAGGTGATGTGAAGAGAAGAGTTCTCGATTCCTTTGGTGAGTTCCCCGTTCTCAGCCTTTTGTATAATTATATATCTATCCTCTTTGTATGAATCCCCCTATGTTATATAGCTCTCAAAATCTGTTAGAAATTGTGCATTCTTGGCCACTGGATTGAAATTAGTTGGTGAGGTGATGAATGGTTGAGATGAATTCGGTTACAGCAGTTAGCTGTTGGTTTTTGTTACAAGTTAGTTGGAAATTCTGTTAGTTGGGCTATTTGCAGTTTGGGAAGTAGTTTGTTAGGAAATTTATGTTAGAATTATGTTAGAAAGTTTTGGTTAGAAGTTTTTAGTTCCTAAGCTGTTGAGCTGAACTGTTTTAATTAATTTTCTACTTTCCAACTTTCTATGCAGTTTGTTTTCTATTTTTTTCGGTTATTGCAGTTAGAGAGTTTGTTAGTTTTGGTTCTGATTGTTACAAATTCTTAGAACTGAACTGTTAACTATTATTGATTTTTGCTTTTTAATCTTTCTATGCAGGGCTGAACCGTGGACGGGCTAGGAGTTCCCTCCATAACCGGCATGCACACGTCCATCAGAACCAAGTCATAAGTACAGCGTTGTACTGCTCGCACGGCTTCAGCTCCATTAGTGACAACATCAATGTTATGACCCAACTGCTTCATCATGGATTGTGTCACCATGATGTTGATCTTGTTATCTTCCACAAGAAGGATCTTAGGCTTAGATATGGATTTGGGTTACTTCTGATTTACTACTTCTCCTGACACATTGGGTAGTTGTGTTTACCACCATATTCTAAGAAGAATCTGCACTATCATTTTGAAACCATGCATGAGTGTTATACAAATGATGTTTATTACTAGATGAACTAGCTGATTCAGACATGTCTGAGGCGTCAACAACTGAAGATGAGTCATCGAAAGAACACGTCCCTTTTGATATGATGTCATTAGAAATAGCGGGAAATGAGAATGAACTCTCGGAAAATCCACTGAATTTGTGTGGCGATAGCTTGTGAGTTCGGTTTGTGTGGAATTGGAAGAAACCTTCTGTTGTTGTATCATCAGAAACGGATTCGTTATGCTCCATGTCTGAGAATTCATCGGAGTAATCAGAACTATCACAAGCAATTGAGACCCTGTATGGCAGAATGAATGTGAAAGTAGAACCATGTTGTTCTTTGCTAGACACTGTTAGATTACCCCCCATCAACTCAACCAATTGTTTGCATATTTCTAGTCCTAGCCCTGTACCGCCATGCTTTCATGCGTGGTCTACACTGACTTGTATGTACCTTTTAAATAAACTATGTTTTGCATTTTCTGGTATTCCAATGCCTGTATCATATATATCACAACCTATCCACACGCTTGTTTCAGTTGAGTGATGTTGATCTTCCTTGTCTCCATTCATCGAGCATTCGTTTTGGGGTGTTAAGAGATATTTTTCTTCTTTCATTACATTCATAGAAATGGTTGATTGGCATGATGTAATCTTTTGTATGTTTTCAGCTTTTTGAAAAAATTGGCTCTTGCATAACATGAAGGTTTATCCCAACTTTGCCTTCATGTGTAAACTTGATGACGTTGCTGATTAAATTTGTGAGGATTTGTCTAATCCTTAATACATTGCCAGTAACCTTGATAGGTACATCATCTGTTACATGTCCTTCCAAGGTTAATATTTTCTGCAATGATGCTACAGCTGTCTGAAGCACGTGCTTTACTACCTCTCGCGGTCGAAATTTTGTAGCCTCCAACTTCATTACTCTTGAATCAACCTTGGAAAGATCAAGTATGTCATTTATAAGTTGAAGAACCAAGTCTCTGGACGATAACATGACATCCAAGAGTTGTTTATTTAGATTGTCGAGTTCTTCTCTTACAAGACGCGCGACGTTGGCTTGTTTCTTAATAGAGTGCGGTAATTTCGAACAAATATGCAATGATAGTAATGAAACTTGTTTTTTTTCATTCGAACCTTTGATTTCACATATGCTTTTCTCGTATTTTAAAATATCTTTAGATGTCAAGTATATCCAATAGTTTTCAAATAACCTCTAAATCACGAAATACGGAATAATTTATTTAACTTGGTTTTTATTCACGAAGTCTCGCTGGAATCTTCCAATTTTGCTTGAATCAAATTATTGAACAAAACTGAAGCTCATTCTCACACAAGTATAATGTTTTGAGGAATCGATAACGAGGATGGAAATATGGAAGAAGTATAACCAAGATTTCCTTAAAACTACTAATCCACCTTGACTTGTATTGTGAGCAAAAACTAACAATGATGAGAACAAAAATGGCCTTGATCAACGTGAATCTATGGTACCAATTCTTATGTCATGACCTCGTACTTTTCAATTCCACCCCACAAGTCCTTTGTCTTGTCGAAAAAAAATCTTTGTGGGATCCTTGAAGAAGATAAAATCTGAAGCATAGAAAGATATCCTCTAATCATTTCTTGTTGACGAACATCAACAAATTCACACACAAAATGCAAAACCTTAACCCACTTGTATTAGGTACGCAGTGACGACTTGAGACATGGATCGAATAATGTTCAAAAATGTCTTCGAAATGAAACAAAGCATTATCTTCCAATGGACATAGGGAAATAAACCCAAATCTTCAGACTTAACAAATAAAACCTTGCAACTTAATTTTGAGATGAAGAGAATAACCTCGTAGCTTGATAAAGGAGAAATCCACAACAACCATCAATCAAAACCCTAAATTCACAATTCAATGTACCAGAAGAATCGGTCTTGTTTGATAAACACCTCGAACCAAAAGAAAACCCGAGCTTCACAAACAATGATTCTCTGAACCATGATTCGACCAAACCTAAATTGGTTAATTGAAGAGTGGATGAATGCCATGTCAAAGTCATTAAGCCTGATCAAATGATAGGCACACCAGTATGAGGGGACGTCTTGATTCGAAAACCATGTATGATAAGTCACGCCCATGAGTTCTTGACAAAAAAACCTGTAATCTGTTGTTTATCAGAAAATAATAGCCTTGCTGCTTGAGGGGGAAGAAGTCCTTTATTGGATATGAGCGCCTTAACCACTGTGAAACCCTAATATCGCACAACCACTGAACTTTGAACTTTAGAGCTATATCGAATGAAATGTATGCCATGTTAGTAACATAATGAAATAGATGCAGATGAATGCAAAAAGTCTAAGCCAAAATAAAAGAAATTAGGAGGGCAAATTTTGGGGTGCAACAGGTGTGTATTGGGGCAGCAAGACGAGTCTGGCCGAAAAGAGCACGCTATTTACTACCTGAGCAAAAAGTTTACCGATTGTGAAACTAGATATTCACTGCTCGAGAAAACTTGCCGCGCTCTGGCATGGGCTGCTCGCTGGCTAAGACAGTATATATTGACTCATACCACTCTGTTGATATCTAAGATGGATCCGATAAAGTACATCTTTGAAAAGCCTGCTCTGTCTGGAAGGATAGCTAGATGGAAGATGATCTTAACAGAATATGACATACAGTACACTACCCAGAAAGCTATAAAGGGAAGTGTGTTAGCTAATCATTTTGCTCATCAAGCTGTAGAAGATTATCAGTCCATGAAGTTTGAATTCCCGGATGAAGACATCATGACATTAGACAATTGTGAAGAAATCAGACCATATGACGGACCTCAACAAGGATCCCGGTGGACCCTGTTCTTTGGTGGGGCATCCAATGCACTTGGTAATGGTATCAGTGTTGTACTCATATCTCCGGAAGGGTGCGATACTCCTTTTACTTCTAGACTTTGCTTCAACTGTACGAATAACATGGCGGAATACGAAGCATGCATCTTTGGTCTCAAGGCTTCCATAGACTTGGGAATCAAATATTTAGATGTGTTTGGAGATTTAGATTTGGTCATCAGTTAGATAAAAGGAGAGTGGGACACTAAACATCCAAACCTTATCCCTTACAAAGAGCATGTTTTGACATTGCTACCACATTTTGAGCAAATTACCTTCGAGCATTTCCCGCGAGAAGAAAATCAGCTAGCAGATGCTCTAGCCACAATGTCATCTATGTTTAAACTTAATTGGGATAACGAGGCTCCCTAGATCACCATTGAACGAATGGATGAACCAACATACTGTCACGAGATTAATACTGAAGAAGTAGTGGACCAGCCTTGGTTTCATGAAGTCAAGAGGTATCTCGAGGCTCGAGAATATCCAGAAGGAGCTTCAATCAATGATAAAAAGTTCTTAAGGAGATTCTCTACTAAGTTCTTCCTGAGTAATGGCATCATGTACAAACGCAATCATGACTCCATTCTGCTCTGGTGTATGGATAAGATTGAGGCTAAAAAGATCATGGTTGGGCTACATGAAGGTACCTTTGGCACTCACTCCAGTGGGCACACGATGGCGAAGAAAATCCTACGGGAAGGCTATTACTGGTCTACCATGGAAGCAGATTGCTATCAACACTCCCGGACCTGTCATAAGTGTCAAATTTATGCTGACAAGGTGCACGTACCTCCGGTTCCTTTGAATGTCTTGATGGCTCCTTGGCCCTTTGCTATGTGGGGAATCAACATGATTGGGGAGATCAAGCCTACAACCTCTAATAGACACCGCTTCATTCTAGTGGCCATTGATTATTTTACAAAATGGGTCGAAGCAGCTTCCTTCGCATCTGTTACTAAGAATGTTGTTGCCCGCTTCATCAAGCAGAATCTCATTTGCCGGTACGGTATCCCAGAAAGGATCATCACTGATAATGGTACAAACCTTAACAATACTATGATCACCGCCTTGTGCGAGCAGTTCAAGATTCATCATCACAGTTCATCCCCCTATCGACCAAAGATGAATGGTGCCGTCGAAGCTGCAAATAAAAACATTAAAAAGATCATACAAAAAATGACAGTCACCTACAAGGACTGGCATGAGATGCTACCATTTGCTCTCCACAGGTACCGTACCACGGCTCGCACATCAACTGGGGAAACACCCTATTATTTGGTTTATGGCATGAAGGTTGTTTTGCCTATCGAGGTTCAAATCCCCTCTTTGAGGATTATGAAGGATGCATATTTGAATGAAGACGATTGGATCCAGACTCGACTTGATCAACTAAACTTAATTGATGAAAAGAGACTCACTGTTGTTTGCCATGGTCAGATGTATCAAAAACAGATGATCAAGGCTTTCAACAAGAAAGTTAGACGCCAGGTATATCAAGTTAGAGATCTAGTGATCAAACGCATTATCTTGCCGCAAAGTGATCCCAGGGGAAAATGGACTCCTACCTATGAAGGACCATTTGTAATCAAGAACATCTTCTCCGGTGGGGAAATGATCTTAACCACCATGGACGGTAGTGACTTGCCACACCCTGCGAATGCGGACATAGTCAAAAGATACTACGCATAAGAGGCCCGCTAGGTTGACACGCCTAGGCAAAAAAAAGGGCATCCCGGTGAACCAAAAAGGTTCGGGCAAAAATTAGGGATAAAATAAAAAAATTTGTACACCCGGCAAGTTGAAAACCCGAAAGGGCGACTTGGGCAAAAAAGGGTTTCCCCGTGGACTGAAAACCCGAAAGGGCGGTCCAGGCAAAAGTTAGGGAATTAAAGCGTATGAATATGTCTCGTCGGATCACTTTGAGGATAACCTCTTCACTAACCAACTCAGAGTTTATGATTAATTCAATCATCTTCGGACGAAGCGACAAATAGACAGGATATGCGGAGATACAGAGGCTATAGCAGAATGGGAAACCCATGGGATTATCACACATAGCTATCTTTCTTTGTATAAATTTTTCTTATTTTTTTTATGGCGCCATCCTCTTACTAGGATGTTTGTTTCCTTTGTACAAAATACTTATTCAAAGTAAATGCAAAGATATCTCTTTAAAGTACAGAAAATTATTTGTCCTTTTTCTTTACACTTGTGTTTTATTTGCGAAAACGTCCAATGATTCATTAATGAACATATGCATTTGAACATAATTACTGTTTACAAATAAACAAAATGACAGAAGACAATTACTGACAGGTTGAAGAAAATAGGAAAACGTCTTTAGGCTATTCCATGAGCAATCCCCATAGTACGTCATTTAGATCCCCGACAGAACTAAAACTTCAAACTATTAATCCCCGGTGGAAACCATCCAGTTCCTCCAAAATTCCCTAGCAAGATTGTTTGAAGCATGAACTCCATTCGGATAGCAGCTGACTTCTGATACTCCCCAACGGAACAAAGACTCCCATTATCTATCCCCAGTAGAAGTCATCAAAATTCTCTGGATTTCTCAAGCAGATTCCTCGAGCAGTATACGACATTGCTCTCACAACAAAGTTTTTGTCAATACTCCAACTTCAAGACATGAAGAATCCACATATCCTCAGCAGCAGTCAAAGATTTATTTTCCTCAATAATGCAGCAATACAGCAAATCAGCTTACATGCGCATACATTACATCCACATATCATAAACATTGATAAAACACATATATTACATCATACATTTCATACAACATAATTTTGTGTTCCAGTTAACATTTTACCATTTTCAGGATAAGATTAACAACTACCATTAACAACATGAAATCATGATACAGTTTAAATACGCTCCAGACACGGATGCCATTTTGTTATTCATTCAAATTTCAACTATCAGATACAGTTCAGATACGCTCCGGACACAGATGCCATTCTGATACTCATTCAAATTTCAACTATCAGATACAGTTCAGATACGCTCCAGACACGGATGCCTTTCTGTTACTCATTCAATTTCAAAGTTTAGATACAGTTCAGATACACTCCAGACACAGATGCCATTCTAACACT